ATAATATCGTATCGTGCGTTAAGTATTGTGATAATATCGTATCGTGAGTTGTATGGTGATTCCCACCTCTATTATATATACACACATATGTAACATATAACGTACTGTAGCCTCACAGCAAGATGGTTTTGGGTTTGAGTCATGCAGACATGCACTTACTGAGGTTACATGTGGGCTAATCGGAGAGTCTCAGTTGGCTGTAAGTTTGAATATGAGTGTAAATGGTTTCTTTGTGTTAGCCCTGTGACAGACTGGTGAGGGTGTACGCTGCCTCTCGTGCTAAGACAGGCTCCAGCCTCCCTGCGACCCTTAATTGGATAAGCAGAAGAAAATGAATGCACATATACATAAACGTATAAGAATAACTATTGCACGTTAGATTTCTCTGTCGTAAAGCTTCGTTTTGACTACATGGAGCAGTCCAGTCATTTGTAGCACTGGTGGTTTGGGGGCATGTTTAGTGATTCGCTGCAGATCCTGTGGAAAGAGAAGACCCAATGATCGTCGCTGTCGTCACCACGCGCTGCAGGGACTTCCAGTTAACCGCCCTGACATCACAGATATGCACAGGGTAGGTCATTTCTTCTCTATCAGCACAAAAAGAGCAGATGCTGCAGTGAAAAGGACAGGATATGTGTTATCTGTACCACAGCCTCCACTGTGGTGTTGTTGACAACATGTAGTGTGTAGCTATGCTGGCTTCGGATTTCAACGGTGATCTCTTTGGTTTAGTTGACATTCTGTTCAGAGTTGTTATCAATGCACCACTCCACCAGTGCAAGGACTTGCTCAGTTTTTCCAAACCCTGTTCAAGAAAAATATAAAGTATGTAACAGGATTACTTATCCATTAAGTGGAGAGGACGCACGCAGACATGAGAAGAACATGAAAAAGGGCCAAAGCCAGGACTCAAAACAGGAGCCTTCTTAGGCAGCAGTGCTAACCACTGCCCATCGTAACTGGAAATTGTAGCAGTTAAAGATGCAAAATGTAAGACTGATATTTAAAAAAAAACTGTTAATGACAATCAGAAATTTTCAGCACAATGTGAAGTAAAATGTGTGTGACGTTACATCAAAGAGGTCTGTGTCAAGAAAGTTGTTCAGGGAGAGAAAACACACAAGGATGTACTGCAAAGTGAACATAATGGGTATCCACGTATGTGAAACACACTGTCTAACCTTGTTAGATCTCCATGGTAACCTCTACTGAACCCATAACCCGACGTTGTTTGACTATGAGCCTTTCTGGTAATGCCTCAAAAACCTTTATTTATTTTAATCTCATGCCTAATAAGGTGCTACACGTGCAAAATATTTGCGTCACGGGAACCTAAAAGTGAAAATGTTTTTACAGGAGAGGGAGAGAAAGTGTACTTTCCTCTGCCGCCACATCACAGCAGCGAGATGAAACATCAGCTACATTTTCATCTGCAAGAAGGCAACACTTGAAAAGAGCAGACTTCTTTCATTATTAAATATGAGGCCCCACCTAGTGGGATGTCACGTTTCTAAACACCAGAGATTGTTGCTATATTTCAGCCTCGACAGCAACAAGTTTTCTACTTTTAAAGAAAGACTGACATAAGTCCTGAAACGTTTATAAATGTTCAGTTCTTCAGAAAAGAAATTCTAATTCAGCAGAAAAAGGAGGAAGCAGAAAGAGACAGGCACTTTAAGCAGCAGATATGTTGCTTCTTTTATTTCCTTCAACCATATGGTGTATGGAGTGTATGGCTGTGGTGATTAAGGACAATTTTAAACAGTTTTCAAGCTGTTGGACAACAGTGGAGCTCTGTGGACACTTTGGATAAATATAAATCGGTGATAAAGATATTACGAGGCAGAAAATATGCTATTTCATTATGAAAAGTAATACTTTTGGAAGATATACAGTAAATAAGTTGAATTTTTCATTCAACCGCTGACGGGAAAGTCTAAAAAGTTAATGTTTCAGTAATTTTGTTTCAGGACGTCAACTGTTTCTGAGGATTTTTTTTTATTAGCGGAGTGAGATTAAGACATGAGAAGAGGAAGGACAGATCTACAAGAGTCTGCAAACTGAGTAAACTGAGAAAGGGGGAAGTTACCAAAATAAATTACTGGGAAGAAACAAGGGAACTAAAGCAAAGAAAAACAGGAAACAAAGACAGACAAGGAGAAATTGGGTGACCCTGGGAAATAATTATAAAAAGATGTTATCAATAAAACTCCACACTAACACTAATGACCTTCATGCTTTAGACTGCTTTAAACACTCCGCTTCTCCTCCATGATCGGACATACCGTTGTGGGGTGTCAAACGTATTATAGTTCCTGGGCCACCTGCAGTCTGATTTAACCAAGAGGACCTAGGCTGTAAAACTGCTGAATAATAAATGATAACATTTTCCCCTTTTTTAAGTGCAAATAAGTACTTTCTGAGAACTTTTGCATGCAATGATTCATCAGCAGAAGATAGCTGAGGTCAAATAAATGTAATTTTAACAATATGTGTCACTTTTTCCACTTTCCCACTCTACTGTCATTATGAAAGAGATGCTTCTGTCATCACCAGAAACCAAGCATCTCAGTGCAGCTCCTTGACTTGTAGGAAAAATACAGTGAAAAGGCTTAAAAACGATGTCGACATAGTCAGACACTACAGGAGTATACAGTATGTCATCAGACCTCCAGCTCCTTCGCTCCATGACCTCAACAAACACATTCTTACCACTTTATGTCTTATTTAACACATTTCCTAAATTAAGGTCCTCATTAGAGTCAATAAAGACTCAGTGCCAAAAGATTCTTAGTCACCAAACACCAAGATGATGATGGTAAAACACAGTCCATGTCTAAAAGGTCTTATTGCAGGGAGAGGATGAACTGAGGGGCAGCATAAGATTCATGTGAATTAATTTAAGCTGTGACTCATGAGAAGCAACTTTATTCCAGGAGTCCAGATGCAATTGAGGCCCATAGGTCAACTTTAATGTGGAACAAATGGCAAAATCTGCAAATAGACAAAAACAAGTCATCGAGTGTGCGTAGGTGGATTTTTCTGTGCAATAAATCAGATATATTGTAGACCTCGTGAGTCAGGATCATTGTCTTTTTATAACTTTTTGCTCTGTGATTCACTTACTGCGACTCTTCATAGTTCCTCTTTGTTTTCCTGCACGATAAACTCTTGATTGAAAAGACAAACTATCCAGTTTTTAGTGTCACATTTGCTGTCAACAGAATATTCCCTCACAAAGCTCTTTATCAGGACCAGCAGTCAGCCAGTCATTTGGCAGGGCTTCACAGCATCAAACCTTCCTTCAGTTAACATGATTCTGGCATGACTGCTGGCAGCAGATAGGCTGGTTTGCGAGGCTTCGGTCAGAAAGATGGATGAGCAGCAGTCGTTTGGATGGACACTCTTTGCTGATGCCAGAGTTCAGAGGTGTTCAGCCCTCTTCCTTCAGAGAAAAACAAAAATCTGAGTCTGCAGTGGGCACAGGCTCACCTTCTAGCGTTAAAGTTTGGTATTAGCAGCATGAATACACAGCCTTTAATGGGACTGACCCAAAGCTGCAGTTCCTCTAATAGCCACTTGAGGCTGCTGCCAAACGTTAAACCCCACAGACATTAAATTTTGAGTCATACTGA